AGGTACAGAGAAAATCAGAAAGAGAAAGCGTAAGAGATGAAAAAGGTTTATTTGATATCAGACTCAATGAGAACAGATGGCCGACGAGGAGGAACATCTATTTACCGTCGCTCAAACGGTAAATCTGTTGTCGAAACGGTACAAAAAGGATTTATAGGAATAGATGTTTGTACAGATATGCAAATATCAGTTAGTTGTCAAATAATGAATTTATGGCTAATGATGGCGGTGGCAATGTGACGTCGAACCCTGGTTCATTAGCGATGTTGCTACCAACAGCTCATTGGATTACCAACGATTGATGATTACGATTATCATTGTTAGCATCAACATTACTATCAACGCATCAGAAGCATCATCGTTAACTTAGAAGATCTACCGTAAATGCCGTTGTCGTTGTGACTGCTGCTACTGCTGCCGCTGTCAGAAATCAAGCAGAAAATCACCACTTTTTTTACTACTTTTCGTACTCGGCTGTTGTTGCTGTTTTTTATTTCATTTTTCATTTTTTTATTTTTTCATTTTTTCGAAAATGAGGAAAAAATGAGGTTCATTAAGATAATGATAAAATGTAACTAAGTAATCAATAGAGACTTTCTATCAAGAACTTTTTTTTTCTTCTACTTGTCTTTCCCTCTCCCTCCTCACTTCCCTTTGCATTCCTTTCCCTCTTGTTTCTTTTGCGGTTTTATAAATTTAACAGCGAAACTACAAGAGACCACTGAAGCAGAAGAAAAACAGAGGAAAGTGGGAAAAAATCTCTGTTTTTTCTTCCTTTTATTTTTTTTTTGCCTAAATCGCTGCAGTCAAAAAAAAAGTAGATTTTCAAAACCAAACCAAACCAGAAAAAAACATTATCCTGTTGCCTAGCAGCAAACAAGGCAAGCAAGTAAGCAAGCTGGCTGACTAGCTGACTAGATAGCTAGGCTAAACAAGCAAGAAAGCTTAAGTAGTATAAGCATTAGTTGGACAACAACAAAAATAACACCAGCGACAGCGACAATACCAAATGGACAACAAATCAACAAACTATCAGATGTCTTCCTCTTCTCCCCCGCCGCCACTCTCCGCACGGATCCGTCGTTTTGCAAAAGAAATAGCAGCAGCGATGTAACAAAAATTACGGTTACTGTTAATATTATTACTATTATAATTGCATTTTTACTATTATTCATGAAGGATTAATATTCATAAATTTTTGCATTACCAAAGTGCATAAAGAAAATCAAATTTCCTTTACATTTTTAATCCTTTATGCAAAAAAAAAAAAAAAAAAAAA